GTGGTCTGTTGACTGACCTTTGTATTTGTTCAAATAATTGTTAAGGGCAGGTTACAATATAAAAATGTTTGTCATAATCATGTCTTGTGGTTATTTGACAGGAGTTTTACTTTTAAACTGTAATTTAGTTATATTTGTAATGATAGTTTAGTTATGATGTAAATACAATAAAAATTAAACCAAGATTTAGAATAATTTATCATTTTGTTCCATACATTGGTAATGTCTGACTGGGCCTCGTGACTCTTTATGTTCAACAAATTGGGCCCCGAGGTCCAAAAGGTTAAGAACCCCTGATCTAAAGCAGGGGTGTCAAATCCTGGTCCTCGAGAAACACAATCCAGCATGTTAGAGGTTCCTCTGCTCTAACACCACTGGTTTGAACAAATGRGCTATCAGAAGGCTTCTGCTGAACTTGAAGCGGTAACTGAATCACTCAGTCGGGTGTGTTGGAGTAGAAAACATGCAGGATAGYGGCCCTCGAGGACCACCTGTGTTCTAAAGAATACTGAGGCAAATGCTTTACAGCGTCTCTACAACCAACCTAGCAGCACAGCTTAGGTTGGTCCAGCTGCATTAGAGATAAATACAAGACTTTTTGGTGAAAACCAAACAACACCTCAGCACAGATACTCCACACCAACTGTGAAGCACAGTGGTGGAGGGTTGATGGTTTGGAGTTTGGACCTGTACACCTGATGATGGTGGGCTGTGACCGTTAGAGACTAGATGACGACTAAAATTGTGAGAAAATTGTAAGAAAACAAGCAAACTTTCTATTGAAGTCACTTGRGATTGCAATGGACAGATTGCACAATTGACTTTTGTGTACATGGTTTACAAAACTGTATTATTGACATTATTGTAAAACTTCTTTCAATAAATGAGCCTTTTCAAGTGTTGCCACACAACAGTGGAATACTTTGCCAACAGAACTATTGATATGTACAGACTTTCATAAATTTTCATGCATGACAAAACCTTAAATCAAAMCTGTTCTCATAATGTAAACTGATATGAGTGGAGTWTTTGATTTTGAGAGTATGTARGGGATGACTTGTTGAAGAGTGATTATGCTTTGGATATTGTAGGTACTGTATGTTTAATTGCCTGAAATGATTTGATCATCAAATGATTTTATTGAGTGTTCAGCCTTTTTTATGTGTGTTTTTAATAAGTGAGTTGACGTTTATGATGACATCTTTTTGGGAGTACAGACATTATGAATTGATTTTATATTGACTATAATTGTATGCTTTTGTAGAGCCGTTGCTCCTCCACGTCGAGAGGAGCCAGTTGAGGTGGCTCGGGCATCTGGTAAGGATGCCTCCTGGAC